AGTTAATAACGGTATTTCGAATTCTGGTATATTTTAATATTTTATTGGAGTGCTTTGAACTCCAATAGCTGGTGCTATTCTGTATTTGTACATACGTCGATGCAATGCCCTCTGAATGTTTAGTAAATAAAATTTATCAAAACTAAAAAAATTGTTTTAAGAAATATCGAGAATTAATTTAAAATCTTATAAATAATAATACATGACTATAATTAAAAATTTTCAGCAGTATGTCTTTACTGAAATAAATAATGGAATGTTATTTAATAAATAATAGAATTAATAGAATATTATATTCAGCTTTGGTAGAAAATTTTTGTTTATGATATAATAAATTGTTCCCACAAATATTTTATTCCCAATTTTTTGATAATTTTCTAGTTCTACATACGTGAAGAAGTTATAAACAAAATACATTTACTTACATATTTAATTTATTGATAGAAACATGTAACAAATATCATCACAAGTTAATTACAATTAACAAATCTGTCATTAAATTTGAATTAAACTTACAAAAATAATAAATCTAGAATACAAAATAAAAAATGACTGAAAATTAATTTAGAATTTAATAGCTAAGAAAATAACTAGAATTACAAATTTCCTACAAATATCCTGCTCTTAATTTCTAAAAATCTTTCGAAATTTGTATGCATATGAAAATTACATATAAAATGCGTCTAATTTACATATTCCTAACAATATTTTCAATCATCTAAAGATTGTAATTAATTAAAATATTCAAATATTCAAATATTAATAAAATTATAATAAAAGAAATTCTTTTCCACGTCTTCAAACAAAATCTACAAATTGACAAATAAAATCTAAGATATTTAAATTAGTTAATTGCAAATAAACACACATAATTGGGGAAAAATCGGAATTTTCAAAATACCGTTATTTATGCAATATTTGTCCAATAATCATCAACTCAATTGGGCAAAAAAAAATTGATAGCTAAGAGTGGTTGGCCTACATTCACTTCCGCAATGTGCGATATCCCGTGTTCACCATTCCACCCCAATCTAGAGTGATTTCATCGCCACGTGGCGGACCGTGTTATAGTGTAAATTACGTTACCATAATTCGTGGGGGCAGGTGTATTTAAAGATTGAATCGTTTCAACATATTTGACCGGTGGACAGGAGGCAAAGATACGGGTGACATGAAATGGAAGCTTTCGAAATAATCACAAGGAGAATATTCAAAAAATTTATTGTCCACTCATTTGTAATACTGCTCTGACTTATTATCAAATTGCTTCCAAAACTGAGTAGTATAATTTAATAAAACATGAAGTGCAAGTATTGTATTTTTTAACGAGTTAGAATTTCTTAACAAATAAGAAGATTTTGAAAGAATATTTTCAGTAATATAATATTCTTAAATTATTGTTGCAATTATTTTCCAAATAATTTACAATTGTCCTTTTTTAAATGAAAAATGCGATTATGTCAAATATGCTTGAAATATATTTTAAGAATTAAATAATTCTTAGATATTAGTGAATTTTTTAATAAGTTTTTATTTATGACATATTAGGAATGAAATTAACATTTGAAAAATAAAAGAATGTGTAAAATTATGATAAAGTTATACTATTTAATAAAGAGATAATTTGTTAGAATTACTACTTAGAGAAATAAAGAATTAATACTAAATACTTCAAAAAATATTTGAAACTATACTGAACTATAAAAATATGCTAGAAATAAAATGCAAAATACAGAAAATATAAATAATAAATAGTAAAAATTATTTTTCTAACTTTCCCACCTATGTTATAATTTTTAATAGCAACAAATTGTTTAAATTGCATAAGAATTGATTAAATAATTGATAATTGTTAATATTGTGCTTTAAATCTAATAAATTATAGACCTTTTAAATCATACTTCAACAAAATTTAAGTTACATATATAAAATATATATCAATTGTGTTTTTAATCAACTATATTAAAAATGAAATAAAAGAATTTTAAATGTCAAAACTTTTCTGTTATAATTACAATATCATTATAAGGTAAGAAGTTTTCTATCAATTTCCATTCTAATTTTGTCTCACTGTCTCACGTCTTCCATTACATTTTTAATCACTTAACAAATTCACTCGCGAAATACAGTATTCTTTTATAAACAAATGACAAACGCCACTTTTCTTAAACTTTATTTCAAGATATTCCTATAAAAATTTATATTAGCTTCCAGAGACACTAAAACGAGAAAGTATAGTGAAATAAAACGCGATTTTTAGAACGATAAGGACACGAAAGCAGTCTGTTTATAGGAGCTAGTTTTCGCACTTTTATTTTCGCGAATTAATGGATTTACAGGGGCAGTTGCTATAAAATCCTGTGTTTTACAACCACACGTTCTACTAGCAAGAGGATTTACGATTGATGCGAAGAACTGACCGCTTGAGGAACGCTGTTATGCGTTAGTTTCGAATAATGAGTGGTCACGACCTCGTTTCTTGATCATAAAATCAATATTTCCGATTCTATCTGAATCTTTATCTTTAACGTGGATTACTCGTTCGCAATAGCAATTTCGCTCTTACTTTTACCACTGTAGCAGCCATAAATTCCGTTGAAAATGTTACTTCAACTAGCAACTGTGCATTATGCTCTCAACGCGTTCTTTGATTCATTTGCTTGCTCGTAAAATATTTCAGACTGAATCGATAAATAGATTTCATGAATAGTGAATTTTAATTTTAATATCCTTCGTTCGTGTGTATGTAAGAAAATAAGCAGTTCGAAAGTACATGATATATTTTTATTATCGTGTGATAACATAACGCAGAATGAGTCAGCAGATTCATTTTGAAAATAAGAATTCTAATATTCTTGCTGTATATTTAAGAAAATGATATATTTGAAAATATTTATGACGAATACTTTTGATAAATCGATCATACCCAAATTTCAAAAAATAGTCAACTTAAAAATTTTTTAAGTAGTAATTTATATTTTTTGAAAAAGGTAAAATAAAAATTAATGTATTTTGAAACTTACAATGAATAATATTAATAATTATTAATAGTATTACGTAATAATAAATAAA